CATCGACACCCCCACGCTTCCTACCAGGTGGCAGTCATGGGTTTACTTTCCCAACTTGCTCACATTTTTTGAGAAGGTACAACTATACTGGGTTGTTCCTACCTGTATCCCTAGTCCCTGGCAATACTGAGCATTAAATAATGTGATTTTTGTATCTCTAAAGGAACTTGCAGTCTAGATGGGAAGACAGAACCAACACCCACCAAATAGGTGCAATATAGTCAGGAGGCCCAGTGTGGCTCAGAATGGCCAGGCAAACCTATCAGGAGGTGAGGGATTGTACTGGGTTTTGAAGGCTGTGCTAGAACCTTCATTGACAAAGGAAGCCAGGTTACCTCACGTGCTCTTAAAAACTAGCTTCCCCTCTTGTGCTTTGGTTCCACATCAGCTCAATGGCACTAACCTGGATCCTTAAAAACCATGTAGAAAGGAAACAACTGCTTTTATTTATTTTTATTTTTTAAAATATATTTCCTTGACTTTTTTACAGAGAGGAAGGGAGAGGGTAAAGAGCTAAAAACATCGAAGAGAGAGAAACATCAATCAGCTGTCTCCTGCACATGCCCCACTGGGGCTGTGCCCACAACTAAGGAACATGCCCTAATCAAACCTGGGACCCCTCAGGCCACAGTCTGACGCTCTATCCTCTGAGTCAAACCAGTCAGGACCAAACAACTGTTTTTAAAAATTCCTTTAACAAATATACTCATTGCCACTCAAAGACAAACACCATGTAAATATCATCATGATGATCATATTAAGGAATAAAATAGTAACGATGCAGCTTTTCATGTGATATTTTATGTTCATTGTCTTTGAGGGGAGTTTTTACTCAAATATCTCTAAGTGAATAAATACATATGGTCCATAAATATGTCCAAAAGCACTTTTCTCTACTTGTATTCACACATACCTCATTATAGAACTAAAAACAAATTCACTGAAAATTTTTATGGAGTCATAGTCTTAAAAAAATGTCAGAATTCTCATTAAAGCCAATAGGAATTTGGTATAAAAATTAATAGCAGGATATAAGCTTATAGAATCTTATCAATAATATCTTTACAATCTGTTGGTCTCTTTGAGGTGTGCCAAACATAACCAAGATTTATTGATGGATATGATATTTTGGGACATAAAACTTAATATGTGTTTTTCTTTGCTCAATTAGTAAATCTCGTCTAAGTTAATATTATCATGAGATTTCACATAGCAATGGTCAGATATTTCGGCCAAAGTAGATACTTTCATCTGGATTATCTCCTTCAGTGTTCTAATTCTCCACTTTACTTCATGTAGTTAGGGAAACTCAGCTGAAGTAAACACCTTTCACTTGAAAAATTACAATGTTCTACATGTTCAATGTTCTATATGAGGTATGAAAGGGATAAGAACATGAATAAGAGAATCTCACAGGTTTCAGAAATATTCCACATTCCATTCCAAAACTTCTCCTCCAGCTGAGGAATATTGGGAAATAAAGGTGGAAAGATAGATTGTTAAAGATCAGGCTAAATATATTCAAATTAATTTAGTAAGTCATGAGAGACCACTAAAGATTTTTTTTTTAAACGGGTTAATGGCCTACATTTTTATTTATCATTATTTACCCTCTCACATCTTTGTTTGTTGTTGTTGTTAATCCTCATTCAAGGATCTTTTTGGTGGAGCAACGGGCATAAAAGACGGGCACTTTTTTGTGCCCCTGTTTTTGGATCTGGACTTCACCTCTGTTCCATTAAACACCATGATTTCTCATACTTCTATGCCTCTGCATAAGTAGCCTCCTTATCTGCCTCAGAAACACTATTTAGCCTTAGAAATTCAGCTCAAATGTCACCTCCACCACGAAGCCTCCCCTGATAACCTCCAGCCACGCCCAACTATTAAGTTAAAACTTTGCCTTTTTCTCCATTGTAGCATCACCTAAGAGCTCTGTGACTCCACTTCTCAGATTTATTTCTTTTTTAAAAAAAATATGTATTTATTGATTTTTTTACAGAAAGGAAGGGAGAGGGATAGAGAGTTAGAAATATTGATGAGAGAGAAAAATCAATCAGCTGCCTCCTGCACAACCCCTTCAGGGGATGCCCCCACAACCAAGGTACATGCCCTTGACCGGAATCGAACCTGGGACCTTTCAGTCTGCGGGCCGACGCTCTATCCACTGAGCCAAATCAGCTAAGGTTCTCATATTTCTTTGTATTCATTTCTATGACTCTATTCCCACTACACTAGGCACTATCTCTTATTGCTCTCCATAGTCCTAAGGCGGGCATTCAGTGCGTAATGGCTGAATAAGCTAAGTCATGTGTTTTTATCACACCAACTTCCTGAAAACATCCAAGGCAGTGGAGAGTTAAGAGCTGTAGAAAAGTGAATACGACAGAGACGCATTAGGTAAATTGGATGCGAGACTGCAGGTTTGGAAGGAGGGGAGGAAGATGATGGATTCCACTTTGAACATGAAAAATATGCCTTTGGCGTCCGCTGCAATCAGGATCTGCTTTTGAGGCTGCAAGTGCTTCTGATTAGACAGGAACACAAAATTAAGTCATTCTCTTCACTTCCCAAGCCCAGCACTCCCATCTCCTTTGATAACTTCCTCCAAGGTGACTCTCAATTTCTTTAGTCCCCCCTCTCTTATCCAAACATTTCCATGCATGAGAACTCAAACGGGCACGTTTTCAGAGCCCATGTCTCTGAGCGTGTGTGAGCTCAGGGAGAAAGAAACACAGTGATTTGCAACCTGGCGCTGGAAGGAGAGCAACCGTCAAGGGGCTGGGGTTGTTTTTGTTACTACCACCTTGCTTGTAGCCCCATGTCTGTTTATTGTTATTGTCTCGTCCCCTTGCTGGTGCTCAATTCATTTCCTCATCGCAAGTGTGAAGGAAGACCTGGCAGACATTACCATAGCACGGTTCCGAATTGATAATGGACTCATCCTGAGATGCAGTGTGACATCTGTTAGATATTTGGAGATGCTGTCCATCCTGCCTCCAGCAGTACTTAACAGCCAGGCTCCCTCCCCCTGGAAGCTATAAAATACGGAGTTAAGGAGCAGAGGAAAGTGCTGGTGATTCCTGCCTAAAAGAGCAAGCACTGGGATGTGTGGGATGCATGATTTAAAGCAAAATTTTAAAATAGATTGATTTTAGAAAGAAGTGAGGGGAGAAAGAGAGAAACATTGATTTGTTGTTTTACTTTTCCATGCATTAATTTGTGAATTCTTATATGTGCCCAGACTGGGGATCAAACCCACAACCTTGGAGTATCAGGACGATGCTCCAACCAACTGAGCTGCCTGGCCAGGGCCAGGATGCACATGTTTGAAGGGGGAAGAGGGGTGTTTAAATTTAGCACATGTTCTTGAACTCATATTTACTCAGAGCTTGAACCAAGACAACAGAGAGAAGATGGGCATGTATTGAAATGAAGCTAGCCTGGCTCATGTGTCTCAGTGGTTGAACATCAACCTACGAACCAGAAGTCATGGTTCAATTGCTGGTCAGGGCACATGCCTGGTTTGTAGACTCAATCCCCAGTAGAGGGCATGCAGGAGGCAGTCAATCAATGATTGGCTTTCATCATTTTTAATTATTATTATTATTATTTTTAATCCTCACCCAAGGATATTTTTCCATTGGTATTTTTTTTTTTTTTTAGAGAGAGTAGAAGAGAGAGGGAAAGACAAAAGAAATATTGATGTGAGAGAAACACATCAATTGATTGCCTCCTGTTTGAGCCCCAATCAGGGACCTGACGGGGAAGAGCCTGCAACAGAGGTACATACGCTTGACTGGAATCAAACCTGGGACCTTTCAGTCCATAGGCTGATGCTCTATACACAGAGTCAAACTGGCCAGCGCTTATCATTGATGTTTCTATTCCTCTCTCTCTCTCCTCTCCTCTCTCTGAAATAAACAAAAACATATTTAAAATAATGAAACTAGTTGTATATAGAAACTGTTCCTTTGCTAAGTCATTTTTGTATGCTTCTGTTAAGAATGTCATATTATTCTCTTTTATTGATGTGAGAGAGATGCATCAGTTGTTTGCCTTCCATCCCAGAGTCCTGACCAGGACCAGTGGTCAAGCCTGCAACTCAGGTACATGCCCTTGACCAGAATGGGACCTGGGACCCTTCAGTCCTGGGGTCCATATTCTATCCACTGAGCCAAACCACCGAGGGCTCATATACACGAATTTTAAAAGAACATATGAATTTTAAAAGAACTAGGGAGACTTCCAGTGAAGATGGCAGAGTAGGTAAACCTGTGCTCGCCTCCTCCCACAACCATATCAGCATGACAACTACATTACAGAGCAGTCCTCAGTGAGATCCCCCTGAAGGCTAACTGAACAGAAGACTTATAACTAAGAAAATAAAGAAGAAGCCCTGCTGAGACTGACACTAGCATGTCCAAGCGAATCAGGTTGATTTTCTAGAAAAATCAGCACATCTACTTATCCAACACCTCTACCACATGCTGGAATCTGCTTACAGTTGGCAACAGAAACAATTCTCAGGGACAGGGGACAAAACCAGATGAGAGACCCTTGACCTAGGGAAGTGAATGGACTGAAATTTATCACAAGGTACCTCCACCAAGAAGCTGAAAGCTTGTTACAACTGTTCATAAAAAGAAGTCCCTCCAATGGCCCCTCAGGAGGAGTATGTTGGCCTGGCCAGCATCTCCCCTCCCCCATGGTCTGTCAGGATGGTGTTCTGTGTTGTCTAAGCCCCTCCCACGCTACTATTGGCTGGAGGAGGGCCTTGCTGAGCAAACAAAGCAGAGGGTGTGGCCCCTCTAGGGGTGGGGAGCTGTATAAATAGGGAGTTTAGGAGGCCTCAGGCGGACCACTAAAGACACTGACATGGCAAAGGTGATCAAGAAACTCACAAGCGCCTAGGACTCGTGGGAAATCCAACCCTAAGCCGCCAAGGGAGGAGTCAGAGGAAGGCCACCCGTCCACTGAAGTCCAAAGGCGGAGGCAAGATGGCCAAGACAACCAAGAGGGTAAGAAGAGCCCATCAAGGGAGTTCAAGCAAAAACACCTCTCCCAAAACTCCCCGACTTAAGGTCAAGTCTAAGAAATCAAGACACCTCCCCCTTCAGGACCATTATCCCAAAGTGAAGGAGACACGGCACCGAAACGAACATGAGCCCAGGACAACCGTGAAGGTGAAGAGACCCCTTCCAGGCAGCTCAAGGAAGAAAGCCTCTCCGAGAACTCCCCGTCCTTCAACCAAGTCTAAGCGATCGAAAGGCCCCATCCTCTATGGCCATTACCACAGGCTGCAAGAGACACTGAAGCGATACGAAAACGAGCCAGAGGAAGACCAGGAGCAGAAGCCCACCACTTCGAACAGCTTCTGGTCCAGCTGGGGCTTCTGAGAGAGCCCAGGACTCTCATGACTCCCTGCAAAATTTCTCAGGCCTGACCACTGAGGAATGGCCAGCTACGTGGACACAGAACCAGGCACCAACCGGGTACACCCAGGGGGGATGAGTAAAATAAAAGAATGAGAGAATCTTCCTGAAAGTCATTTTTTCTTCTAGCCATGGCTGGTCTCATGAGGGTTCTAGGACTATTTTTTCTTCTCATAATGTTAAAGCCGACCAGTGAGAAAAGGGACACTAGAGAGGGAGAAAGGGATGTTGGAGAGAAAAATAAGAGAAAGGGGAAAGGGAGGGAGGGCTATGAGATAAGATATAGTATGGAAGGGGAGGGAGGGTGATATGAAAGAAGTAGATAGAAAGTTTAGGAGAAAGATGAAGGATAAGAAAGAAGGAATAAGTAACTAATAACATAGCCTTGGTTGAAGAAAAAATTACAGCTCTGACCGGTTTGGCTCAGTCAGTGGATAGAGCATTGGCCTGCAAACTGAAAGGTCCCCAGGTTCGAATCAGATTAAGGACATGTATCTCCTTTGTAAGCACATCCCCAGTAGGGGGTGTGCAGGAGGCCACTAATTAATGTTTCTCTCTCATTTATGTTTCTAGCTCTCTATCCCTCTCCCTTCATCTCTGTAAAAAAAAAAAAAATCAAATATATTTCTTAAAAATTATAAATTATTGAATGCCATTTGACTCTATTATAAAAATAAAATTCCAAAGAAGAAACAAGATGAACAAAATAGAAACAGACTCATAGATACAGAGAACAGACTGTGGGTTGCTAGAGGGGAGGATTGGGAGTTTGGGTGAAAAAGGTGACAAGATTAAGAAGTACAAAATACATGGGGATGTAAAGTAAAGCTTAGGAAATAGAGTCAATAATATCGTAATAAATATGTATGGGGCCAAGTGGGTACTAGAATGATCAGGGGGCTCACTTAATAAACTATGTAATAGCCTGACCACTATGCTTGCATACCTAAATCTAATACAAAATAATACTGAATGTCAACTATAATTGAAAAACTTAAAAGAATGTATTTTCACATCAATAGCTGTCAAGACATGTCTTTGCTTTTAACCATACATTTTATTTATACACATTTAACCCCACATTTATTGGTGCGTGCTTAGGGAATTTGCATTTTTTAATATTATGAAAAATTTTATAGTAAATAAATTTTTAAAAAATCCTGAAGCAAAGCCACAGCCATTGCAACAAAAACAAGCAATTTTTTTTTGAAATCCCACTTGAAAATTCCAAGAGGTTATCGAAGTATCCCTTAGCCAATGGGTACTTGGAACAGTTTTTCAGCAATCAAAACCAAACTTGGAGCTAGAGAGGGAGTGTGAGAAAAGACAGATCTGAAAAGAGAGGAAAGAAAAATGAGGAGAAAGAACAATAGGAGGGAAGAGGGGAAGAGGGCGAGCAAAAGCCAGGAACCAAACAAAAGCTGGAATCTTTGTTTTACGAAGCACTAATGACTTACAAGGGGTTATTTGTCATGGCTGAGCTTAGAGAGGCATTCTCCTGTATTAACAGGAGACCGAAACTTCTAGAGTCTTTGGCTCAGAGTGTTTTTAAAATGTGTCTTCACCCAGAGGACAGTGACCCAAGTTGACAGGGGAGCGCACTCTGCCAGGGGAGAGGACCGGCCCTCAGCCTGCCGGTTCCCATGCTCACAGCCCTGCTCCTGGCCGGAGAGCTCCTCTGGGGACCCGGAGCCTTTGAAGTGCAGAGCAGTTTGGGATGGAGGAGGAGGACTGGCTGAGGAAAAGAGAACAAGAATTTATTATCAGGACCTTTGGGGGGTTTCGTATAAAAGCCCTAAATTAATTTTTAATACTTACGAAATTCTGCACTGTCACCCACTTGCTTTATTGCTTTGGTGTTTGCTGAGCTCTTTACATATCACAAAAGGCCAATCTCTGATCTTTGCAATTTCATTAAATAATTGGGGGGGAGGGGGGTATAGGGAGCGTGCCTCAAACTTCAGGATGAGTCCAAAGGAAGCAAGAAACAGGGCACTATCACTCACTCCCCATCTATGGAAACCTGGAAATGCGTTGGCATTTTGTGAGCCATCTAGAATGGCCCCCACTAAGGCATTACACTGCCCTCTTCCAATCTGCCCTCTGCCTTGTCTTGTAGCCACAGTGAGGTCCCGTGCCTGCCCATTCTATCCCTAACTACGCCACCAGCCATGCCTCCTGCCATGCCCAGCCTCACTAACCTGCGCACAACCCTCCGGCAACTCTCAGTCTGTTCTCTGTATCTATGAGTCTGTTTCTATTTTGCTCATTTTGTTTTTTCTTCGGGATTTTATTTTTATCATTGAGTCGAAGGGCATTTTATAATTTGTGTATAATAAGGTAGCCTCCTCTGCCGGATCGTAGTGTAGCTTTCACCTCCAGACCAGCCAGGTGATGGTAGGTCTCCTCTCAATGCTTGGGTCCACAAAGCCCCCTTTGCTTACATGTCCAGTGTAGCACATGGTTGTCCCCCTCCCCCTCCCACCAGAACGTACGGTTCTTGAAGCCAGGCACTGTTAGCTGTGGTCTCTTCAGCATGCAGCCTGGTACCTGGGCCTCTAAATACTCTTTGTGTTAATAAGAGAATGGGATTTTAAATCAGTCTCTATTCTAAAACACATATTCTCTCTGCTTTATCACGGTGCTCAAGGTCCTATCTACTAGAATGGTGCAAATGATATTAATATTAAAAAAGCAGACTCCTGCATGCCAAACTTAGTCCTAGGCAAGAGCTAATGATCAAGTCACACCAAGTTCCCAGAGTAGAATATAATAATTGCCTTTCAGAAACCTATGAGCTTTTCAGTCATGATTGAGCATACAAAGTACCACACCTGCCACTGGGGATGGAGTGGTGAAAATGGCAGTAAAGAAGGCCCAAGCTGTAAGGAGGGTTCCTTTCAGCAGATGGGCAGCTCTTAAACCACGTGCTGCTCGGGTGCTGCGAAAGTATGCAGCAGGGGCGCTCTGTCCAACCTTCCAAAACCAGGACAGCTTGAGCAGACTTTGGAATATTTATAGAAATTAGCAAAGCAAAGAGCACTGGTGAGAGAAAATTTGGGAAGAGAGGGGGGGAGGCACATGTACAAAGGCCCTTAGGCAGGAAGGGGTGTGGGCATGTTTCATGTACAGAAAGATGGTCAGTTCAATTGAGACCCAGAGAGAGGGGAAAAGAATGGCATGAGACAAGGCCTTCTACCCACAGAATGGTTTTTCATATGTACATTTCAGAGATGTATCCTATATAATAAAACCCCAATATGCAAATTGACCGAACGGTAGAATGACCTGTCCCTATGATGTGCACTGACCACCAGGGGGCAGATGCTCAATGCAGGAGCTGCCCCCTGGTGGTCAGTATGTTCCCACAGGGGGAGTGCCACTCAGCCAGAAGCTGGGTTCAAGGCTGGCGAGTGCAGTGGCAGTGGAGGGAGCCTCTCCTGCCTCTGCAGCAGCTCTAAGGACCCATGAGTGTCCTGGACTTCGAGAGGGCACAGGCCAGGCTGACGGACCCCCACACACACCCAGTGCACAAATGTCATGCACCAGGCCTCTAGTAGATACATAAAGCTGCCTCTTTGTTTTCAATAGGAGCATAGTAGACATGCTGTGGTTATACCCTTCATTATTTTAAGGTTGTGTGCTTGGTTTGTTGGCTTGGTTTGGGTTTTGCTATTATAAAAAATGGTTCCAGCCCTGGCCATGTGGCTCACTTAGTGGGAGCATCATCCTGTACACTTACAAGTTGAGGGTTCAATTTCCAATCAGGATATAAACCTAGGTTGCAAGTTATATCCCCAGTTGGGTTACATATGGTAGGCAACTAATTGATCTTTCTCTCTCTCTCTCTCTCTCTCTCTCTCTCTCTCTCTCTCTCTCTCTCTCTTTCTCTCTCTCTCTCCCCCTCTCTCCCTTCTTCTCTCTATAAAATCAATAAAAACATATCATCTTCAGGTGAGGATTTAAACTAAATAATTAAAATTAAAAAGGGCTCCAGTGCTCTTCCTTATCCACACTAGTAGATCCTTGAGTAGTTGGCTGAATTTAACTGGAGGATAGCAAGCTGCTTGGGGTGGAGAAATGGGGAGGAATCACCAGAAACACAGAAATAAGTTAATGTTAAAGGGGAAAAGTGACTCTTATGAGAGGAATAAATGAGAAGTATTGAGGATCTATGACTAATGTGAGTGTGTAGTACAAATTAGTGTTTATTTGTTACTTTCTGAATCATATTTTCCATCCCTAGCTCAGAGGGGTTTTCAAATTATAGGTCTCCATCTCTGGTGATGGAGATAGCCCAAGACTATATCTAGATATGGTGGTATGGAATGATGGTTTCAAACTCCTACTTCCATTACAGAGTTTCAGGCTCTGTCACTTACTAGATGTATGACTTGGAGCAAGCTTCTTATCCTCCCCTCATCACAAAAGAGGAGACACAATATTACCACCACACAGGGTCATTGCGAAGGTTGAATGAGACAATCCATGCAATGTGTGTTTCGATTGTCTCAGTGGGAAGCACTCAGTCAATGGTAGCCGTTGTCCTTATGTCGCTATTTTGGGCCAGTGGGCAAAATAGCATCCATTTATATAATGCTTCCTTTAGCCCAGACTGGGATCTCAGCATTTGCCTGTGTTAACTCATTTAACCTCACAACAATATGAGGTAAGTACTACTATTGCATTTTCATAAATAAAGAAATTGAGGCCAATAGGACTAAATCACGTAGAATTCATATGTGGCAGAGCCAGGACACGAACAGTTCTCATGTTTGTGAGCAAGTAATGTCCGCAAGCCAGAACCACATAAAGTTACAGCCAGGAAGAAACAGAGGGATGAGCCAACAAACCCCAACATACAGATGAGAACATTGAGACCCAGAGAATTAAAACAACTTGCTTCCTGGCCACACATAGAAGCTGAGAAAGCCCATGATCATGAAGAGTGTATGTGGTGATGG